AAACTCCAGTTTGTTGATTTCTTTTTGGTTTTGTTACAATCCTAACTTTCAAGTGTAAACCAAAAGTTGAAATCTTTGACCATATTTTGTCTTGGGAAAAAAAATATTTCTCTTGAGAGTATGGTATGACTCATTAGTTAATATTAATAGAAATTTAATTGATAATTTTAATCTGATCATCTTAGAGGATTTTAAAGTAGCTAATTACACATATATGTATCTCTATTAAATTAACTTATTTATAACTGTGATCACTCAATCAGTAAACACTTATTAAGCTCTTAATATATGCTAAGCACTGTGCTTAGGGATACAGTGCCAGGGATACAGAGATGAAGTGAAATTTTCCCTGTATTTAAGGAGCTTATATTCTAATGAAAATTATTCATTTTTCTTTGTACCAGATATGATTTCAACTGTTTAACACCATGTTGTAGCAAGCATTAGAATTGGACTGAGAAGTTTAAATACTGGTTGTGCTGTGTGACTTTGGGAAAGTTGTTTAAAGTTTCTTGGCCTCAGTTTCTTTTTTTCTTCTACAAAATGAAAGGGTTGGGATAGATAATATCAAGATCTCTTCTAGTTGTAAATCATATTGTCCTATGACAGATAGACAAACCTGTCCAAGAGCAGAGTACATATGCATTACATAGGGATGAATGTTTAATTAAAGAGTGACAACTCCAACCTTCACATATACCCACTCTGAATATTCAGTCACTATTTTCTTCATTTTCTGATGACTTTTCCACTACCCATTATGACCCCCAGTATTTCTTGGCAGCAAATAATCCCTTCTCTATAATAGTACCTATACACACAAATAAAACCTCTGGGTGATAAAACATATTTGACCAAATGATGCACTTTGTAAATTTCCTCTTTAGGTTTTCAGGAACACTTTTTAAAAAGCAAGTTAAGGCTTTCTGGGTATTTTTTAGGAAATCAAAAAAAGTTTACAACTTCAACAATTCTAGATAAAAGGCAGTAGTCTAGTATTAAAATCCTTAATGATTATCTCAGTTCTTTGAACAAAAGAGTTGGAAGTTTCTTTGCATTAAACTTATAGGTTTACTCAGACTGAGGTAGTTATTCTCTCTCCCTCTCTTATTTTGCTTAGAAGAGCTAGAAGGGAGGTTTAAGTTTAAATTCATATACTGGAAGGTCAGTTAATTGTAAGCATAATTATGCACTGTCCTTACAGGCAATGTGTAACTTAGAAAGACTGATGGTATGTATAGAAAACTAGATTGTCTCCTAGTAGATAAATTTATTTTCTAGTTCTGATGCCTTACCATATGACAGCAACTAAGTCAATTATCTCTTGGGATAACTGTGTTTATATAATTTTAAAAGGCTAGCATTTCCCCCATCATAACTGACAACAGTGTTATGGACATTAATTATTTAATAAGAAAATGTGTTTGAGTCACTCTTAAAAGATGAATTAGAGAAAGAACATCTCTTTTTATTATGAATTCAAGCTGCTTTTCTATGGAACTATTCTGCTTCTCACTTATTTCAGTGTGTATATATGTGTGTGTATACATATGTATATATATACATATATACACACCATTTTTAGTTAATATTTAAGTAGTACATTTTAAGTCTTTCTTTTCTGAGCAAGTTTTTGTATGTTCTTAACAATAAATACTTTATGTAGTGGTAGCTGGGGTTTTGTGCATATTTGTAAAGTGACTTTACTGTGAAAACAAGTTAACTGCAAGATCAACATTTTGGAAAATATTTACATTTCACGCATAATTTCTTTGACAAAAATCTCCCTTCATTTACAAGTTTTCAGGAATGTACTTTGTTTTATGAGTTCAAACTAACTTGGTTACTTATTTAGCTAATTATGTCTAATGAGAGGAATTTCATCTGTCCAAATTGGCAGCATGCTTCACTAGAAAGAATGATAGATTTCAAGTCAGAGGACCTGTTTTTGAATCCCAGTTCTGCTACTTATTTTAATTTCTTGCTACTTTTTACTTTTTTGACCTTTGGAAAGTCATTTAACCTCTCTGAATCTCAATTTCCTCATCTGTAAAACAAGAAAGTTCAAGATTATCTCTAAGGTTCCTTCCTGCACTAAATCTGTGATACTGTGAAAGTTTTGAAAACAGTATAGCATTCTGTTTTAGTTTAGACTTCAATTATTCTTGTCTGAACTGAAACTTACTAATGCACAATGCTTCATTCTGATAAAAAACCATCAGTAGTTCCCTGTTGTATACAAAATATATTCCAAACCATCTTGGCATTCTCATTATTTTTTTTCATGGAACCTAGTCTAAAGACAAATTAGACCATTCATATTGCCCAAGCATACTATGCAAAATCTTACCCTTTCCCAAGGTTTGACTGTTATGAGGTTTCCCTAGGACAATATATCCTTTGGAGAAGTACTATATCCTGGGAGAATATTGACTTTGTTAGTTATTGTTATTATTATTTTTATCCTTATAGCCAGATTTAATCCTTCCCTATTACCCAGTCTCATAAAACTGTAATTATGCCTTTCCTCTTGCATTTATCAATTCTATTGAATATTACTGATTTCTGTGCATGTCCTGTCTTCCTTTTACAGTGTAAGTCTCAATTCAGATCCTAAAAGTGATTTGCATATAGTAGAAACCAAATAAATATTTGTCAAATGGAAATGGAATCCAACTCTTTTAAAATTAATCCCCCTTCAGCCTCCTTTCATATTTTCCTCTTTTTTTCACTCTTTTCCAAAAATTTTATTAAAAGGAATGTTATCAAGGGTAGAAACTGTGACTTTTTGTAGTATATCAAGCCCTATTTTCCCTTTGGCATGAATATGATAGACAGAATTTCCAAACAAGAAGAAATTTCAGATGTCTCTTTAGCCCAATCTAATTGAACAGGAATTCCTACTATATTATCTCTGATTATAGAATCATCCAGCTTCCAGTTGAAACAGTTAATCAGCAAGAGTTAATCAGCTAAGATTCGGGGATCCAGAGAAAAAGTGAAAAGAATTTGTCTTATAAAAACTTACATTCTATTGGAAAAGACAAAATGTACACATATAGGTATATACAAGACATATACATACCAAATTCAGTGTAATGTCCTGGGGGTGGTGTATGGGATTGGTAAGCTACTAGCAATTGGGAGAACAGAAAAAGCTTCATGTCAAAGGTGTTGCTTCAGCTGATTTTTAAGGAAACAAGGTATTTCAGCAGGCCAAACGTGTAACAAGGAAATATTACAGACATGGGGGACAGCCAGTACAAAGACATGGAGATTGGAAATGGAGGTTTGTGTGTGATGAACAGTAAGTAAGCTATTATGGCTAAACCAAAGAGCATGGAAGGAAGTATTATGTAAATATACAGGAAACAAAGATAAAGGCCAGCTTGTAAAGAGCTTTGATTGCCAAACAATTGAGTTTATATTATCCTAGAGGTAATGGGGAATTGCCACAATTTTATTGAGTAGTGGAGTGATGTTGTTAGACCCAAGCTTTAGGAAAATTTCTTTGGTAGCTTTGTGGAGGATGGGAATGAATGTGAAACGGGAAAATCAAACAGTAGGCTGTTATAATAGTTTAAATGAGAGTAATGAAGGCCTGAACTAGAGTGGGTTCTTCTGTGTGAATGGAGAGAAGGGGATGTATATAAGAGGAATTATGAATATTGAAAACAGTTCAGCCTTAACAACCAGACGGATAGTGGTACCTATCGTAGAAATGAGGATGTTCTGAAGAGTGCTTCTTCGATGAAAGATAATTAGTTATTTTGGATATATTGAGCCTGAGATGCCTACAGTTTGAAATATCCAATAGCAGTTCATGGTGTAGAAATGTAGCTCAAGAGAGAGATTGGGCTTTATACATAGACCTCAGAGACATCTGCATAGAATTGATAATTGAACCCATGAGATCACCTATTAAGAAAGTATAGAAATAAAAGGATCTAGGACACAGTCTTGGAAAATACCCACAGTTAAGGGACGTACTGTGGATAATGAGCCAGCAAAGAAGACTGAGGAGAAGCAGAAAGTGTGAGAAACAAGATAGAATGGTGTCAGGAACACTCAGAGAAAGGTATATTGTGTGGGAAGGTAGTCAGCAGTTATCATATGCTTCAAAGAAGTAAAGAAGAATCAGAATTGAGAAAAATCCATTAAAAATGGCAGTTGAGATTATTGTTAAATTTGGAGAGACCAGTTTCAGTTGAATGATGATGTCTGCATCCAGATTTCAGAGTGAAAGAAGAGGTGAGTGCAAGAGTGAGAGGAGAGGAAATAGAGAAACTGAATATAGATGACTTTTTTCAAGGAGTTTAAATAAGAAGGGAAGATATGAAATAGCAGCTATCAGATGAGGTAGGATCTAGTGAGGTGTTTTTAAGGATGGCAGAGAATTGCTTGTGTTTGAAGACCTCGAGTGATGGAAAACCTACTACTTCCTGAGCTAATATTTTCTATTTCTGAACAATTTTGATTGTCAATAAGTTTTTTTCCCCTCATGTTGAACTTATATATGCCTCTCTATAACTTATAGCTACTTTCTCCTGTTTATAGCCTTTGGATCCAAATAGTACAAATCTCTTCTATATGAAAGCCCTTCATACACTTGGAAATAATTAAGCTGTCCACCCCTTGAGTCCCTTATGTCTCTGTAGAGATATTATTCTCTATGAAGTCATTATGTATTGTACTTTATAAAGAAAATGTTATGTTTTGATAGTTTTGCTTTAACATTTAATATCTCACTTTTGAAATAGTTTAGTTATTGGTGATGAGTAGTTTTCATGAATGAGAATTATTGAGAGACTGTACCTGCAGCAATTTCACCTCCAGCATTTATAAATGTATTGAGCACAAAAAGTTGTCAGTCATTATTTTTAACTTTTTATATATTGCCCCTGGTCCTTCTAAACTTCATTTTAATTTGATCAAACTATTTTCTATCCATTTCCTTTCTGAGTCTCATGTTTATATTCTTGTTTCTGCCACGCTTGAAGTCATTATCTCACTCTACCTCGCTCCAGATACATTGATCATCATCACAGAGATGTCAGGTATATAATATCTATGTTTGAGTCTATGTGTAGAGTTGAATGTACCTGTGTTTGTATATGAAATAATAAACTTGCAAGTCTTTTTACAACTATAGAAATATAGAAGTACCATTTTTCTTTTTTAAAATAGCAAGTCTAAAGAATATATGTGTACAAATATATGTACATATATACATATATAATCTTAAATGAAATTGATAGAACTTAAGTGCAGAATTATGAAGAAGCAGAAATTTCCTCCAAAACATTCATTAGTAATTACTTATAACAAAAAAAAAGACCAGTAACAAAATTCCTAAATATCATATTGAAGTAAATCAACATAAAAAAAAATACATGGTCATTGACAGTTGTTGGTGGCTTTGACAGTGAATGATAATGTTTTAAGTGTTCTGGTCTTTTTCAGTGAAAATAATAGAAAAATAATGTATTTTAATATTTATTTGATGTTTGTTACTGCTATATTTCTGATCTGAATTTTAAAATTATTATACTTCTGTTCCTTGGTTCCAGTTCTGAACTGTTTCTTGTGGTGGCAGTTCTTGTTGCTTTACTCTTTAACTTCAGTATTGGTTTGCACTATTAACCCTGTCTGGATTTGTTGTGAGAGAACTAATTTTACTTTATTGTTTGTTAAGGTACTATATTATGCATATTATGGGCCATAGTTAGCTTTCATAAGATTGCTTGCTAAGCATTTATGACACGTAACTGATATATGTATTTTATATATTCTTGTGGGAGGTGGCTCTATTTCATTATAGGTTAAAGACTATATACCATAGAGCTACTTTCTAAATAAAGACTATCAAAGTATAGTCAATAGTTAGTTATAAGTAATTATGTTATTTACTTCACATCTATTGCTCTCATCTCAGTGTGAAGCATAGGAATGCCTCAGTCATCTATATTGACTACTAATTTTGTATATCCAGGAATATTTTTAAGCTTAGCCTTACTTTAGTGGTCAGCTAGGTGGTGCAGTGGATAAAGTGCCATACTTGGAGTCAGGAAGATTCATCTTCCTAAGTTCAAATCTGGCCTCAGATACTTATTAGCTGTGTGATCCTGGGCAAGTCTCTTAACCCTATTTGCCTCAGTTTCCTCATCTGTAAAGTGTGCTAGAGAAGGAAATAGTAAACCACTCCAATATCTTTGCCAAGAAAACTCCAAATGGGGTCATTAAGAGTCAGACACAATTGAAAAAATGAATGAGCAACAACTCACTTTAATCTTTCACTGAGCATACACCTGGGCTATCTTTCCATTGCCAGCAATTAGTATTTGCTCAGGAAATGCAAATTCCTATTAGCCTGAGCAAAACACAATTGTGTTTTACTTCTCTTTGTATCATACCTCATTGCTTTTCAACTTTAAGTCAAAAAATTACATTATACAGATTTATATCATCTAATCTTAACTGGGCCCTCACCAATGCACATCAATCCTTTTGTTCATTTCTAATTGATTGTCCATTATATTTCCAGTGGAGGTTGCTTCTAAATCTTCTTCTCCAGTTCCATCTACTCGTCTGGCTTTCTAATAGAAGAAGACCTCAGACCATGAGTCACTCTTATTTTCATCTAATGTCACCTCATCTTGATTCTATCTTATATACATTTGTAATCAAAGTTATTGGTGGGTTCTCTGTGTATCCATACCAGTTATTAGCAGCTGCTTTTGTCTAAGAGAAATCTAGCTGATGTCTCTATCGTCCTCATTACTACTATTCCATTCCTCTGTTCCAGGCTTTTGACGTGTTTCCAAAATTCCACATCTATTTTCTCTTTCTATCCGTGTAGTATGTAATATACTCTAATGACAAAATCACTTCTGTTTTTTCTCCTTTGATCTTCAGCCAAATACTCTCTAACATCCTCTCCTTGCAATCTAGGATTTTCCCATATGAGTATATGTTCTTAAAATATAATGCAACTTCACCCCAACCCATTTTTGCCTACCCTCTTTCATTTGAATAAGGTTTATTTTTCTAGAGCCATGGTCTAGTCATGTTTCATTCCATTAAGTGGACAATGAACTTTAATTCAACACAATGCTACAGTGAGATTTTCCTCTTTAGCTTCAGGCATTTGTACAGAGATCAAACACCATGGATTTTATTGTTAACTTCTTTTTTGCATTCTGTCTTTTAAATATTCTGAGTTTCTTAAGTGATAATCTTCTTTCTTTTTTTGACTACTCACAATAGTAGTTAACTTGGGGCATATGCACAGGCAGTCTTCTCTTCAAGTTTTTTAGTATAAAGGCTTTTTATTGATTGTTACATTCACAAATAGCTGCCTTAATACCTCACAACAAAGAATTCCTGACTGTTACTGCTATTTTCTTCTTCCTTTGACCCTTACTATATGATCTTTTACCTGATAGCTTCTGTGGCTCCCCTATGTTATTCTTGTGAAGACAAGCAGCTTTTTCTAAGAAACCAGCTCTCTCCTCTTCAGAATGTTTTACAGGTCTTAATTACATATTTTTTCTTCTGTTTCTCTTTTTCTTTTGTGTTAATCTCAACCATTTGACATCATTTGGATAAAAGTCAAGTTTCTCCTCCTCCTCATCCTGCCTCCCTTCTATTTCCTTTAAGGTCAGTTTACTTTCCTTTTATAATGCTGACAAGCATTCTTTGATTTCCTTTCCCATCTCTTTCCAGAGTGATACCACTCTGTGGTAAAAATATAAACATTGTGCATTATGATTCACTGAATAATTTGCCCTACTAATCATAATGGTTAAGATTTTTAGCTTTGTTTCTTTCAACTGCTTATGGGTATTTATACCTCAATCCTAATTACTTGATTAAAACTTTTACAGCCAATCATCACTTCTTAAACTTGACAACCTTACTCAAATTATTTTGCTTTGTCTCAGCAACTCCACAGCTACCCACCTCCTCTTCAACTTTGTACCAACCTCTTATCATTCAAAAATTTGTCCCACTCACCCCCCAATCTCCCTGTATCAATTTTCTTAACTCTCTAATTCAAAGGCAGCTAGGTGGCACAGTGGATGGAACACTTGACCTAGAATCAGGAATACCTAAGTGTAAATCTAGCCTCAGATGCTTATTAGCTGTGTGATTCTGGGCAAGTCATTTAACTTCTGTTTGCCTCTGTTTCCTCAACTATAAAATGGGGATAATAATGCACTCACCTTTCAGGGTTGTTACGAAAATATATTTGCAAAGCACTTAGCATAGTGCCAGAAACATAATAGGCACTATGCTTACTTATTCTCTTCCCTTCTTTTAACTTGGTGTCTGGAAAATGGTTCTCTTTTTGGGAAAAAAAAATGTTAACTATTTAAATGTAATTGGTTTCCTTTGTAATTCTATGTATTTTATGTTAGCATTTAATAACATTATTCTGAGTTACATAGTTACCTGATTGCCAAAGGGATTCCATGATGACAAGGGAAAAAAAAAGATTAAGAACCCCTCCTCTGTTCCATTTTTTTTCTTTTTTGGGAGGCTAGGCAGTGGGGTTAAGTGACTTGCCCAGGGTCACACAGCTAGTAAGTGTTATGTGTCTGAGGCTGGATTTGAACTCAGGTCCTCCTGACTCCAGGGCTGGTGCTCTATCCACTGCACCACCTAACTGCCCCTCTAATTGTTCCATTTACCCTTTCTTTTATACCTTGTCTTTTCTTGCCAGATACCTTCTCCTTATCCTTCTTGAGTTTTCCTCTTCAGTTTCTATTTCCTAATCCTTTTTTGTCCTTTTTTGGCTTCCTTATCATCCATTCTAATAATGATGATGATGATGATGATGATGATAGGGAACATTTTTATAGTATCTACTATGTGCCAAGCACTGTGCTAAGCACTTTTAAAATATTATTTTGTATGATCTTCACAACAACCATGGGAAGAAAGTGTATTATTATCCCTATTTTACATATGAAGAAACTGAAGTAAATAGAGGTTAAGTGATTTGTCCAAGGTCACATGGCTAGAAAATGTCTGCTGCTGGTCTTGAATTTAAGTCTTCCTGACTCTAGGCCCAGTGCTGTCTCTACCCACTGTGCCACCTAGCTGCCTGCATTCATTCTACTTCTCCTTTAACTGGAAAGTAGATGACTAATTAATGGGGCAAAAGATAGTTTTCCTTTAAAATTTCCTCAATTTCTCTTGTTTCTTACCAAAGTTCTCTCTCAGAAAACTAATTTCTGACCTACTTCATTAGTTCAAATACCCCTCTCAGCTTCTGGAGTCTTCTCATACTGGAACAACCATCAGCCCTACAACCTCCTCACCTTGAAACATCCTTTTGCCATGCCATTCCTGCCCTACTGGCTCCTTTTTCACTTTGTTGCATTTGTCCTAGTACTGCTTCCATTCTGGGGAGGGACCTAAGCCACTCCCTACCAGCTCTTTTTCTGACTTCCTGGACTTTACTACCATACCTCTTTAGGGGTACCTCATCAAATCACATCTCTACTTTATTTCCTCTCACTCCTCAATCTTTTGTAATCTGACTTCCAGCATCAACACTCAATGAAAACTACACTCTTCAGAGTTATCAATGATCTTTTTTGTTTTGTTTTTCAATTGAATTTTTCTCACCCTCTCAACTACCTATCCCCCAACAGAATAGAAAAAAGGCAAAGAAAAATCATGTAATAGATATTTAAAGTGGATCAAAGGAAATTCCTACATTGTGCATGAGCAAAAATGTGTCTTGTTCTGCCTTTTTAGTCCATCACCTTTCTGTCAGAAGATGATAATCAAATCTCATGTTTTTGCTCATTCTTAATCCATCTTGACCTAATACTACATTTTATTCTGTTGACCATCTGCTCTGCTTCATTACTCCCTAATTTCTGGAGTTTTGTGACATTACTCTCTCCTGATTCATCTTCTACCTACCTAGCCATTCCTCAGTCTCCTTTACTGGTTATCACCTTCCTAACTTTAGGTGTTTCCCAAGGTTCTGTGCTGGGCCCTCTTGTCTTTTTCCTCTATATGCTCTCTCTCCATCTTTCCC